CTATCCGTATAAACCACCCCTTAACGCAACCCTCTACCTCCTGATCTTTGTTCAAGATGAAGCTTATCAGAAAAATAATCCCTGGATCGGGGTCGAAGAGACTTGGATATAAACAGGAGTCGTTAGACACGGATAACATTACAGGAAAAACCAGTTTTTTTTATTCCCATCTCTGTCAACGCAAGCGTTTATTGCAAAGTGAGCTTCCAAATTGTTTTCACGCCCTGACTATATTCAGTGTTTAGATGGGTATGTTCAAAGAGCTGTTACAGCCGCCTCATTCAATCTGCAATAACAAGAGTTGCTAAAGCAGTTTATTCGAAGAATATTAATGATATGCTAAATTTAAAATAATCTACGATAGTTATAACTGCCTAAAAATGTCTCAAAACCCCTGGAATGAAACTCGTGCATACACAGTCGTTCAATTAAATCGCATATCTCTAACATAACAAAAACTCAATAAGATATTTGATAAAAATTCTTATCAATAACACAAAGATACCTTATTACATAAACTGTAAGAGGCGCATCTAAATACGAGAAGCCTTAAAAAAAGTAAAAAGAAAAAAAAAACTTGACAAAATGTGAAATTCAGTAAACACACTTAATATATTTCATTAAAAGAAATATACACAAAAACGAACGCGATAACATGAACTCTCGCGTGAAGACGCAAAGAAACGATATTTGAAAAGAATCAAACTAATGCTGCAGATAAAAACAAAAACTTTGATATTGGTTTTCGAAAGCTGAAATTACTCAGTGACACGAAATATAGCAAAGAAATCCTCCACAGAGAATTTACATTGATATTTAGCCAAACCTGTATATATATTTTACCGACGTACATAGGTTCACCTATCGCCCGGTTCACACTCCTTCTCCGTCTACTTAACAGGATTAAAGTATTATCCCTTGTGTCCTGTTTAGAAGTGAGTGTCTGGTTCCTTCTAAAATCTACTTCAACTCCATACGAAACTTCGTAATTTTATCTACTATTTTTTTTTTTAATTTTAATCTTTATTTTCCTTTAACCCGGCCAGTCTATCGTCCGGTTTATACCCCTCCACAATCTATTAAACGGGGATAGATGTTTATTCCTTGTTTCATGTTTAGGATTGGGTTTTCATTTCCTTTTAAAGTCTTCTCATTCTCTTTCACTTCTAGTAGCCCCCTTGCGTCAGAGTGGCGTTGTCGCCTTGCTTGGGATGAATTGATATATATATATATATATATATATATATATATATATATATATATAAATGGTGGTAGTCGTTTGGAAAAACCTCGGATAGCTCAATTTACAGTAGAACAAATCGGTATCCGAGTTAAAATAGGGAATAAAAAAAGAAAGAACCAAGATCACTAAAACAAGGCGAAAAAATAATCGTCCAGTGTTTAAGCTCCAAGTCCAAAGAAAAAAAAAAGCCCAAAACGAGTAAAAAGACAACTACATAAAGTGCTCAATGCACTAAGTAGAGCAAAACCTAAGATAATCCTAAGGAGCCAGGCAAACCTACCTACGTTTCAACTAAATCCGTTTAGGTGAAACCCATATATATATATATATATATATATATATATATATATATATATATATATATATATAATCTTTTGACCCCGTGCAAGACAATAAAACTAGTAAGGGGATTACTGAGCGTGAGTGAATATGAGAAAAAGAAAACATTATTAAAGAGAGAGGACAATAAAAGAACAATGATAATGATTGCTTTCAAATTTTTGAAGATCAAAGTTGACTTGGAAGCAAGAAGCCGGAAAAGAGTTCCACAAGCGAAGAGTCCAAGAGAAAAAACTGTTACCATAGAACTTGCGGTTACATCTAGCCATTTCAACTGAAAAATAATGAGACCTAACCGCCAATCTAGTACTTACTTAAATTCATAAAGTCTCCGTAACAAAGACGAAATTTAATCAGAAAAATTACCATGAGCAAATTTATAAATGTCATTAGGAAAATATTTTTATCTGTGAGGGGCCGTAAACGATGTATAGCAAAAAAACTGACTACAATGGCGACTCTCAGAAAAGAAATTGAAAAATGAATGTGTAGCAATCCCACAGGACATTGTAGAAACCTAAATACATTGCCGGCTCTTTTACCTCCCATCAGCATGATAGATGCTAATTTCTAGGCTAGTAACTGCATATATATTGAGTAATTGATAACGGCTCCGGTTGAGGAATCGGAGAGTCGAGTTCGAATTCCAGTCGAATCTATTACATTCACTTATGTGCTAATAACCTTAGGAAAGGTATGAATCCTCTTCATTTCCCTTCAGCTATGGCTAAATAACAGGACAGACAAGGTTCAATAGCCTTAGAAGGTAACTGGTCTAGGAGAAGGACAACTCTAAATTCAAAACCTTCGGAGGGTCGTTTGGAGACCTTGTAGTACATAGTGCATCAGGTTTCTGCATTCGGCCCTTCAAAAAGTGTGGATGATCTTGCACGTAACATTCACCGCTATAATCAAATCTCATGTGCTGTTGTCGGGCTGTCGGTTTCCTACGAACTGATCTGCCTGACCTTCATACGTCGAATACGACGGGATAGACGAATATATCTATCTATATATATATATATATATATATATATATATATATATACCCTTGCAGATTGACAACGGGTTCTCGACTGAATTTAAATCAGGAGAGTTTCCGAGCCAGTCTACAGCTTTGATTTGCTCACTGATAAGAGTTGCCAGTGTTGTTCGTGCAGCGTTTCAATTTTCGTGCAGTAACGTCTATCGCGGAGAATGTCCGTAGGACAACTAATCGACAGTCGAGACAATAGTGTCTGGGCGTGATAAAAATCTGATGCAATCACAGCTGATGCGATATTTTTCACGGCCAAACAAATTTCATCATACACCCCGAAAATAGATTTATATTACAGCACACCATTACAAATGAGCTCATCTGAGCAAAAAATAGCAATTGACTACACTATGTCACTCCAGCGGGTCTAAAACTGAGCGTATGGTGATAGAAAGGAAACTAAAGCAGTTGTTTCAATTAATTTACACAAGGGTGTATATATATCGACAAATTCTGTCTATCCAATGTTTTATTCCTATAGTAAAGAAAACGGCGACTTACCTCGTCAAACTAAGCGACAGCGTGTCGCGTGTATCCTACGACGTAAAATGTGGCGAAAAAGAAAATTACTTACCAAAAAAAAAAGGGCACGTATTCCACATGACAGTCGCAGGAGTCGCTATAAAAGTATTTTGATATGCAAAAATTGAGCGTCCTCTCCCAGTTGTCGACGAATGGAAAAAATGCTCGGCCGATAAAAGCAGTTGATGTTCTCGAATCGAGTGTGAGAAATAAAATTCGTGTATTTTGGCTACCGCGTTTGTCGAAAAGTGAGTTATTTTTCTGACTTGTTACGTGCATTGTGATTTGTGAAATGATACTTGCGAATCAAGTTATCGGCATTTCTTTCTATCCCCGATGTTCGAGTCTGAACAGTGACTTATTCTCTGCATTGTGGATATAATCTGTGACAAATATTTCCTTTGCAATTCCAAATCGCTTACAATTCCGCTTTTCAAATTTCTAAATTAGTTATTTTATATAATCCGCAAATTTAGGAAAGTAGAATTAGAAATTACAAATGCATTGTGTTCCATAGGTGGGGGCGCATAATGAAGTGTGCAGCTGGCCACTAGTATTCGAAGATAACCGTCTACTAGCCAATCATAATTGCAGACGCTTGCACAGGTGCATTTTGTGTTTGTTACTGCGGTTTATACTGCAACTATGCTGAGCAAACCTTAGTTATAGTTTCTGAAAGAGCGTGTTATCTAGCGTGATCATCAATTTGAACAAGGCTAGCACGCTAAATACCTCGGTCACGATGACTTGTGACTCAGGGCTAGCACAGCTATCGACGACCCCCAAGGGTTCTGTCTATCCAATTTCACTCGCTCAGAAGGAAAGAAAGGCGAGAGAAAGAAAGAAAACGTAATCACTACAGCTAAAAGAAAGAGTAGAAAATTCACCTGCTATGGTTGTCAGGCACTTTCCAAAGGTGTCTTCTTTCTGAACAAATCGACCATGGTGAGATTAGAATTTGGGTTTCAGGGTTTGAACGCAAATGTGCTAAGCACTCGGCCAGTGGAGGCTTCTGGGGTTATTGGCCCTAGTTCGATGGCGTTCCTTCGGAGGATTGACGCCATTGTGTCTCGATTAAGAGACGAGCCTCGCGAAACGGAGTGGTTCTTCTTGCAGCGTGTCTCACTGGCGATGGTTCGAGGTAATGCTTTCTCCATCATTGCGGCTGGCAGAGGATAGCAAAAAAAAATTGTTTATAGATACTTTGTTCAAACTATTTTCAGTAAATAAATTTCTCTTTTCATTTTTAAAAAATTGAATACACGTGAAACATGAATGACCAATGAAAAACACGTAAGAATTCAGGTTGACCGTTTATAAGTGACGTCACCATGAGAGACTTGAAATGAGTTTCCGGCAAACGAGAAAATGTCGGAATTAACCGCAGTTACAAAAACACACAAAAGCCGGAATAGTTGATAACAAATATAGGAAACGTCTTAAAGTACACGGTGGCGGTGGAATACAAATAAACAAATAATCATCGTACTTACGTTAGTTATAATTAAGAGTCGACAAGAAATTATGATAATATGTATTGAAAATTTTAAACTTTTTAAATTTAAAATTTCATTATTATCAATATTTTCAGAATTTCTTACTAATTCACTCTTTAATTCTCTCTTTCTTTCTCCCGCCTTTCTTTCTTTCTGAAAGAAAGAAAATGTAAGGCTATGTGCAACTTTACTAAATGCTTTACATTTTCTTTCTCTCGCCTTTCTTTCTTTTTTCATAGTCGTTCTTTCTTTTTTACTTTTAACTTTCCGCTTTTCTTAATTATAATTCACTTTCTTTCTTAATTTTTCTTTTTTTTCTTTTCTTTTCTTTCTTTCTTTCTTCATAAACTCATTGCTTTAGGTTTTCTTTCTCTCTTCTTTCTTTCTTTCTCTTAATTTTCTTTCTTTCTTACTATTAAGTTTCTTTCTTTCTTTTATCTTTCTTTTTTCATTACGTTTCCTTTCATTCTCTCACCTCTCATTCTTTTCTTCCTTTCTTTCAGTCAAATTTAGTGATTACTTTACGTTTTCTTTCTTTCCCCTTTCTTTCTGCTACCGTTCTCTCTCTCCCTCTCTTTCGTTCTTTCTTTCTTTCTTTCTTTCTTTCTTTCTTTCTTTCTTTCTTTCTCTTCTAAAATTTGTTTGCTTATCTTTTATCCAAAATTTCTTTCTTCCTTTTCTCTTCACACTTACCAATCCAGTCGTTTTTTCTTTCTTTCTTTCTTTCTTTCTTTCTTTCTTTCTTTCTTTCTTTTCTTTCTTTCTTTCTTCTCCCGTTATATTCATTTTCTTTCATATTTCCTTTTCTTTTTCTCATCCTTTCTTCTTTCAATGGCTTCTTTGACGTACCTTTCACACCCTCCAGACAAGCCACCATCTTGAACGACGCACGTTGACCCTAGCAGATGTAATCTTCTCTCTCCGATCGCATTAAACATTTTTTTTCTCCGCGTTCTTTTCCCGCTTTAAAATTAATTTATGGCCGACAAAAAACAACACCAACCTTTGATGAATGCGTTTTTCCCCATCTGTGTTTATCCCACTCGCCATGGTGCCTCTTTTGTTTCATGAATTATTAACTGTTTGAAAACGCCATGAATTTCATTGGCCAAGAAACACTCTGTAAGGTCTTCTGTCTTTGAAATAAAACAAGTTTCTGTTAAGCCTGCGCGAAAATAAACGTTTGCCTCCAAATAGGATGATATTAAAAATTTGAATAATTAACAACTTATTGTCGCAATTTGCTAATAGTACTTGTGGCTTTAAAGCAAAATAAATGAGGTTTTATGACTCACCAACTTTATTCAAATTATTTTTTGTGTCATCATGCCAACCTTCACTTACGCCAGGCGGCCTCTTAATAGTGGATATCCATTTTTTATCCAGAAATAAACGTCAACTAAAAAAAAGAAACAACTTTATGTGCTGTGTCTCTGTTCGATCATGACTCTTCACAACATCCTTCCCTTTGTAATGCTTCTCCTTTTCTGGAACGTCTATTATGAATCGAGCTCAATCTAGACCTCAAGTGGAACACACACACGCACATGTTTATATATAATTTCTAATGTAAAGGATTTTATTTATCAAACGGACGGATTTTTATCACGTCAAACCTTATTTATTAGTGGATGCTCATATTTAAATAGACGTTACATATATTTATTAAGCAGTATAATTATTTATTTTCGTCTACCGGCTTGAAAATTCGAGAAATTTGAATATTCGAGAAAAAGATTTCTCGAATATTCAAACCGGTAGACGAAAAAATTATAGCGGCATCTCGAAACGGTGTAATGGTTAGCAAGGTCGTCTCTCTAGAACAATTACGACTGTGTAGTGAGTTCGATCCTCACTGGGTGCCCCCTACTTTCGACCGTGTGCCGCATCTAAGCTACGCTTACGCTTGGAAAATCGCTGTGTATATATATATATATATATATATATGCGCGTGTGTATGGGTGGGGAGAGAGATGAAAAATATATTTTCCTAAGGGAATTGGTGGCAAGCAACAGATATGTATATTCTATTTTTGAATGTTGGTACTAAATGACTTTTAAGATATGGAGTTTTCTTCAAGAAAAAAATTGTTTATTTACAAAAATAATTCCTTCTTAAAATAGAACTGAATTTCTATCTTACGCGGTACACAAATGAATGCACACACGGACGTAAATATTGAAGAAGAAGAAGAAGAAGAAAAGGGGGAAGAAGAAGAAAAGGAAGAAGAAGAAGAAAAGGAAGAAGAAGAAGAGACATGAACATCCACAAGAAAGAAAACCATTCCCAGGTTTTGTTTTGTTTTTTCTGGGTTATTTTTATTGTTTTTTTTTTTGTTTTTTTTTTTTGCTGTTTTTTTTTTTTGTTTTTTTAACTAAGTAATCTTGAACGAAATCAGAATATTTTTCACAAAATGTTTTATTCGGATTCACCTCAAAACTTTGGGGGAAAATTTTCTCCACTGAATTAAATATTTAAAATCAGAGAGTTCCATATTCGAATGGGGTTGAAATAAACCAATTCACATCCAATGCTCTATCAAAACACACTCACACACATAAATACAGCTACCTCAACTATTTCGCTAAAAAACAGAAGAGTATGAAGGCCAAACTTAATAAAAACGTTTATGTTATTATTAAGACGAAAAACCAAAGTATTTTTTAAATTATTTTAAAAAAATTTTTTAATCCTTTTTAAATTTGGGTTAAAAATTTTGTTCTTTACGTATCAACTATGTAACAGAGCTGGTAATGGAAAATTTCGCGCCTATTTTCTGGTAAAATAATGCATCAAATAATTGTCCGATTTTAATGAAACTTTCAGGATTTATTCACAAAAAAAAAATGAATCGATTAAG